TAATAATAATAATAATAATATAGATGGTATTATTTCAAAGAAATCTCTTGCAGGAAGGGGCTGGTCATCAGCCTTTGAATTTTTGGGAATTGTCCTCTGTCTACCATTAAATCCAGCCTTTTGTAACAGGTCCTGCTCATTCCTCCAAGCACAGGGACAAGGTTTGGTCCACCTTCATGTCTCATCAAGATCTCAACTGCAGACCATCAAATTATACCACTGAGTACCCAACAGAGCAGAGCAGAGCAGAAAGTGCTTTTCCAGCTCCTATCCCAAGTCTCAAGATCCATAAGGACCCTGCCATACTTTTGCACTTATCCCAGTCCCAGATTGTCATCGACATAGGATTGCCACTGTGGTGGCCATAGTTGACTGACACCAAAAGGGACCCATCCCACATGGGAGCCCAACAGTAGGCAGGGGCAGTGGTTGGGCTGCAGTTCAAGGGACAGGGAGCACACACCGGACAGTGGGGTTACACTAACATGCAGTCCATTTATTTTTGAGGATTTTATTCCTTTCTTCTGTGTTTTGTTTTGTTTTGTTTTAACCAAGCCACCACAAACACTGGGTTGGCTGTCAGCATGAGCGCAGAGACACACATTCCCGTACCCGTGGTAGCTATGTAATAAATACCATCAAAACAAATTAAAATTTAAAAATTAATAGAGAAAGAAAAAACATATTCCCTTTCCCACCCTCAAGCACAAAACACTTTTAAGTCAACAGAATTTAATCTAGTTTATTCTCCAAAAAAAAAAAAAAAAAAAAAAGGAGGAAAAAATATGACAACAAAACAAAAAAAGCAGGTCTTATCACTAGCAGTAAATAAATTTGTACAACCATTCAGTCTGTATAATAGGATGAAATAAATCTACATCTTTCTTATTTTGGTGCATTGAATTATACATACAAACAACAATTACAGGAACTTGTTCACAATGCATATAGACCTGGAGAATGGCTATCTGAAAACCCCTTGTTGGCAATGTCCGCATGTTAACACTGATTGCCTGACACCATTAGTACTTCCTATGTAAAAGGCCCGTGGCCTGAAATGAATGATCTCCCTACAGGTTGTATTTATTTAGTCATTTATTTAGTTAGTTAGTTAGTTAATGCATCATCAAAACCATTCTAGCCAGCCCCCTCCCCCTCCCTAGAAAGGAAAAAGAAACCAGGAAAAAAATAAATCCAAAAAACAACAAAAAAATAACCAAAATAAAAATAAAATAAAAGGAGAAGACATGACTGGCAGTTGGTCCATTTGTTCGTAAGACCGCGTTTCCTCTTGGTCTGCATTGTTTGTTTTTCTGGTTTTTAAATTGTCCTCCCATCCTCTTTTTTTTTTTCTTTTCCTTTAAAAAAAAAAAAATCTCTCGGAGTCCTTCATGCCTTTTTCTTTACAGCTCTCCAGATGCAATAAAGTCTTCCTCAAATGTACAGTATTTCTTACAATATAAGTTATATGCAATGTTCGGCGGTTTTTATTTTATTTTATTATTTTTTTCACAGCACTAGAGATCCTGTCCAATAGGGAATGCAAGTTCTGAATGGCTTATTCACAAATGGTATCCAGATTCAGTGGGTAAGAATACATAGATGCCATAGTGAGTTCCTTTAAAAAGTGGCAAACATCACTTTTTTAAAACTTTTTTTTTACTTTTTTCTCTTTTTTTTCTTTTTTTTCCTTTTTTTGTGCTTTTTGTAGTTTTTTTCTGTGGATTTTTTTTAATTTTTTTTCCTCTCTTACGCCTTCAAATAACATTTTTATTTATTTTTTTTTATTCTTTTTTCCCCCTCCCATTTGATTTGGGACGTCAGACCCATAACCACACGCCTGCAAAAATGCAAGTATATAAAGTAAATCTCATTTTGAGACCGTAAGCATTCAGCAGGGGAGTCTCTCGCTAACCCATGGCAGTGACCATACTGGAAGGATGGTGAGGTCCAAAGGAGAGGCTGGATGGAGGATGCATCGGTGTCGGTGTAGTCAGCATGTGGCTGGAGTGACTGAAAGGTGAAATGTGGCTGATGGAGGACATGTGTCTGGAGAGGGCGGCGGGGTTAAAGGAGCTGCTCTTGGGAAAGTCTTCAAGGTTGTCATGGACCTTTTTGCACTTTTTGGATTTGCTAGACATTTTTCGGTTTCTGGTCTGAATTCCTTCTTTCTTCATAGTCAGGGGTCTGTTAATCTAAACAAAAATCAATTATTTTTTTTTGTGCTTCCATCCCTTCTCCCCAAAAGTTCATGTGCCCCATGCCCAGGCAATCCCAAGAATGTGCCCAGGACAAGTTGGACAACCAGCAGTCCCCCTCCTCCTTTTGCACGCCCCATGTGCCACAGCTATACAACCTCTCCCCTTCCATCCCAAAATTCAGATCCCACCAGGAAATCTCAAATTCAGTTGAGATTTCTGAAGGCAAGATGACAGAAAATTGATGGCAGAGCCTCATGGGTGCAAAACATACTCGAATAATTCACAATGGCTGAAAAATTTCAGCTATCTGCACATTAGGTAATTGCACCGTGTTTAGGAACAAAACCAATCATTACCACCTCAAAATATTCCCTGTAGACATCGTCTCACCCCGAGGCTTCCTGACTGATCTAAAACCATTAGTGGTAACAACTGCCAGAATTTCAGTGCTACAAGGGGTTTCAAACTTTCACAGTGGCATTAGGGAGCTGGGTCAACTCTTCACCAAAGCGACAGGTATTTGTCTTATTTTTCTTTTAGGAAAGATTTTTCCCTGACCATCCTCTGAGGTTTATTTTAGCCAATATGTTTTTATTTTTATAGTATTACAGGGGGATTTTTGGCCTGAAATAAGTATCTGTAATGCCAGGCAGAGTATTTTCTACTTTTATGCATTCACATCTGTAGGAAACCTAAGAATTATATTCTTCTGCATGGGAATACACAGTGGCAATGACCATCTGTATACCCATCGGGGTTAGGAAATGGTAGCAAAAGCTCTGTTGAACCACCTGTGAAAAAATCCTGTTGCTGCACAGAGAGCCAGCATCACAACATGCATGAGTACTGGTGTCGTGAAAGCCCCAAAGACCACACTTGGGAAGGGATTTATGCATCCAATATTCATAAACATCCTTAAAAATCTGAACTTGGGAGCCTACATGGGGAGTTACACAGGTCTTGAACTGGCTCCTCTATGGGATTTCATCCATAGCAGAAGGCAGGAGAGCCCAGCACACCCCAAAGGCTGAACACTACTTGTCATAATAAATGTGAGCACACAACAGTGCTGATGGATATTCTGCAAAAGGGAGAAAAGGGGGGAAAAAATGGATCCACTATCCACCAGCAGCTACTGTTTCAACCCCAGTGAAGGTCAATGAAAAGATGTCCCTGCGAGGTTCCTGAGCAGATCTTCATCCATAAGATCTTAAATCCGTGCAAAGGACAAAGCATTCCCTTCTTCCAAATCACAGCAAAGTTTCATTTCTTGCTCATCAGACACTGCTTGGTGCCTTTCCCCACAGCATGGGAATCATTCACGGATTTCTCTCCCTGGGGAGGCAGGGATACAATAGCTCCCTGTTACACACAGGGATGGAGGCACGGGGAGAGGAAGGACCAGGCTCATCTGCTCTGGTTTAGGCATCCCAAAGTTCGTCATACTAGTCTGAATTAGTGACTACAGGCTCTCTGTATCAGCAGCGATGGGAAACTTCACCTCATCCTAAAAATGAGCGAATAAAACACTGATTCCTCTAACTCTGGATAAACAGAGCTGGAGGGAACAGCTCTGCTGCCAGCAGCTAAAGGTAGGAAGGAGAAATCTGCCCATGCACAGCCCAACAACAGCCCTGGGGCAGCAGCAAGCAAAAACCTCAAATGTCACTGGCTTTAAATACAACATCACCCATCTCCCTGGTTTCCTGTCCTCACTGAGGGAACGGGGATGCACACACAAGGAAGGCCTTTTGCTCCAGCTGCATGGTTAGGATGGGAAATCTTTGCCTGGCCTGTTTCAAGTCATGGACATGCTGCCCAACTTCAAAGCCAGGAGGTAGCTCCAAGTGAGACCCACCAGGCAGCGATGCTAGAGGAGACTTGGAAGTCCTGTTCGCTGTTGAATCCAGCTCAGATCCGGGGAGGCACATGTCTCCAGCCTCCTCAGTTCCTAATGAGGATTTACATCATGACACCAAGGCTCAGGGGCAGCCAGAATTGATTTAGAGATGAAGCAGCAAAAGTTCAAGCTCAGCAGTTGGCAGTGGCAAAGCAACAAAGCCTGATGCTGGGACTGGGGCTGTGCTGGCTCTCGGAGCAAGCACAAGGTCCTGACCCTGTGTTGCTTGGTGTCATGTCCTGCAGGACAATGATCACTTCCCCAAAGCAACATCTCTCATGTTTCACCCAGTCACTAAGAACAGATTGGCACAGGCCATGATTTGATATGGAACTTAAGGATGGGAATACAAGTTTTGCTCAGAATGGTGACAAAGCCATGGCCAGCTCCACAACTGGAGTCAGAGATGCCAGCCAAACTGTTAGCTGGTCACATCATCCTGATGTACATGGCCCCATCCTCCTAGCAGGTACCTGATCCCACTGCCAAACAGATAAATATCAGGAGGATTGAGACCAGCACAGGCACAGCAGCAAGCTGGAAATCTTTTCCAGTGACATCAAAGGCCAGGCACAGCAGAGTTAAAGTGGTCCCCAAAACATCAAAGCCATGGACCCATCTCTGTTTCTGGGGTAGAGAAATGAGAGACCCAGAGGGAAGACTTTCTCCATGAAAATTCATTGTGATTAAAAAGATAAACACATGCTAAATTAAAATTAAACCAGCCCAACTCATGTATATGAAATTCATTAATTTCAGATGGAGTCAATTAATTACGGGCAGGAATTAGGCTCTTTGGTTTATCATATGCAAAATACAGACTGCTCTGCTTTTGGGACACATAACCCTGCTTTAGGGTATTGTAAATGAGGCTTTTTCTGAGGACTTTTACCAAAAACAGCGGCAACTCACTCATTTCTATGGGCACGGACCAGTCTGCTGTGCACCTCCAGCAAGGTATACACCCACCCATCCCTGAAGTGAGTGAAGTATCATCCCACTTCTAAGAAGGACTAAAATAACAAGGACGAGAACCTCACATTCAACAGATCAAATCCAAGGAATAGTCTTAGACATTATAGGCCTGATCTTGCTCTGACTGAAGACAATGGGATTTTGCCATTGACCTCAATAAGGTCCTGTCACTGAAGCGGATTTATCCTTCAGACATAGTCATTACAACGTTGGGTTAATCTTCCAGGCTAGCTGTATCTTCGAAAGCACTCTGGGATGCCACAGGATGAAAGGCACCGTATCAATGTGAAATATTAGTCATTGTTAATACTGGTGTTAATGGAGCCGGCTCTTGTTGAAGTCAGTGGGAGAAATGCCAGCAGCTTCACTAAATGCACCCCAAGACTATTATGATTATTGCTTATATCCTACTGCCAAATGGGTTTGCTTAAGCTGTGGGAATCAACAGTAAAACAAAGTGATATAGCCCCATGAAAAAAATAGCAGCAAGAAAACAGAGCTCCACAAAAGAAATAGCCACTGCAGTCATTCCTGGCATGAACTTAAAAACCCAGTAAGTTTCATTTTCAGATCAAGCCATTAAAATAATCTGAAGGCCCACGAAAAATTCTTTGAACTCAAAGAAAATACAAAATGGGGTGGGGGAGAAGGGGTGTAAAAAAAGCAGCCAGGAATTTCCTACAGTCTAGCCTGAAACAGGGTGAAGCCATCTTCTGAGGAGCCGAAGGTCTTCCACTGACACTGACACAACATCAACACTCAGCTGCTGGGGAGGGACACGCCATGATAAGCCTCTCTATTTCTGATGCCTCTCCTGATGAAGAACTGATGTAGATAAGATACACAAAGTGAGCAGGACCACAGCCTACACAAACAGTCTTGTGTTTTAACAGGTCAGACCAATTTGCTCCAGACAAGGAACCTTGTACATGTGCAACCACCAAACTTCCTCCCTGCCTTGAGCTGATGATGGTGGATGATGCTGTTCACCGGGCAGTTAGCTCAGCTCTCTAGGTCCTGCCTTCCAGCAGCCAAAAGAGAAGGAGTCTCTGCAAAGCTACCACCACCTTACCACTGGCCACAAAAAACTCACTCATATTTGACTCCTGAAGCACCAGGTGACCTTCACAGTCACAGCCTCTAAAGCCAGTTGGGTTGCAGAATGCTGCAATGCCCTGCCTTCATAGACCTTTAAGGCTGAGGGTCGTACATTCAAGGACTTTCAGCTGCAACGTTGCCTGTTTCTCCCCGCAATCATAGCTAAGCATCATCTCAAAAAAGTGAAAACAAAAGGATCTACCCACTCACAGCCAGGTTTTAGTATCCTTGGCTAGTTATATTGCTGCACACGGTATCTCAGTCCTCTAGGGGTTTCATTTAAGCAGGTCCCATTAATGGAGTTGCTCATAAGGCAAGATACTACTTGACTTTGGTAAGTAGCTGTGCTGAGCTTTTAAGCAGCTGTCAGTGTTCTTAATGAATATGAAAACGGTTCCAATGTGCTCAAGGCTTGCCCCATGTCACAAATTTCACAGCTGGATCAGAGTTTCCCTAAACAGTGGATCTGGGGGTCAATTCAGGACAACCAGATCCAAAAGGGAAGTGTGAAAAAGAAAAGGATGTGCTCTTGCAGGCAGGTTTCTGGAGAGTCTCAGCACCCAGCCACCATTCTCAACACCTTAAGGGGGATTCCTCCAGGCTGTCTAGGTGTCTACAATGTAGGTAGACACATCTGAACTCATCATCCTGCCACCTTTTGTTGTCATGGGGAGAAAATACCCTGTCTTCAAGGGTACAAGTCATCTCATCCAAACACAGGCATCTCCATCAGGTCCAACTGATGGCACCTGAGAAGAGCCTATTTTCTTCAAAAGGCTTTGCTGAGGTACAGGGGGAGAAGTTCAGTCTCCCTATAGGTCTCCCTATAGGCTTCCCAAGCTATGTGATTTAAGTCCTACCACTGGTGGTTACAAGGCCAAAATGAAAACCTAGCACAAGCATAGACTCCTCCAGTGAAGCTGGCTGACCTTGCTCCCTTATTGCCGTCGAAATAGCAAACAGAATATTTTCTTGTGAGATTCTGAGAGCTTTCACTCTGGGTCCAACCCCTTTGTTTGCAGTGATCACACTGAGAGTTTGATGGCAAGCTTTGCTTGCTGCATAGGACTCAAAACATGCTGAGACGCCTGCCCACTAAAGGGTAAACACATTTTCCTTTTTTCCAAGAGAGATGCCTCTCACAAAACAGGTGAAAAATTAGCCTGGTTGGGGTTTTTTTTCTACTTAATCCAAACTTGTTTACTCATCCCAAGAAACCAAAGAGCTTAAAATAACAAATGGAAGGGACTGAGACACCACAAGGGTTGGGTGCCCCATGAAACACGATCTGTCTTTGATGTGTTTGTGTGGGTGGACATGAGGCCAAAACATAGCCCAAGACTTCTAAGTCAAATGTAAAGCAAATGTCCACTAGGAAAAAAAAAAAAAAGTTATATCAAAGCAGAGAAATTGAAAGTCTTTTCCTTCTTCTGACACAATAATTATTCTAATGCCACATGTGGAATGAGAGTAACAGGAGTAGCCTTAAGACTCCTTTATTAGCAGCATTATTCAGTAGAATACTCTTCAGATCCCTTTAGCTCGTTCCCTGGGGCATATATCCCTGGTTCCTGCAAGCTGGCTTTGCATGGAGATATTAGATTAAATCTGCCAGCCATTTCATTTCATTTTTCCTTCCCTTCCATGAGAGATGCTTTAAAATTCACATCACAGGTTAAGCAGACTCTGCAACCCGCTAAATAAATCAAGTCGTTTTTGGTTTAGGAATCGCTTGCGTCAACTGGGGCAAACACAAGACCTAAATAAATCATCTTTAGGGACGGGTGGAGGGAAGGCACAAAGACAGCCACAAACCCAAGAAAGACCTAAATAGTTTCTGGCACATTTTGCTTTTTTCCCAGAGTTTGTATTTGCTGGAGGAAGCAAGCTACGCACAGAAGGGGTATCGGCTTGCAGGACTGCATGTTGTCTTTTCCAATGGCCTGAGCCCAATCAGTAGCAGATAATGTCTCTCTGTGTTGATCCACTCCTCCTTTCTTGGCTCAGGCATGGGAAAGATCTAACATTACCCATGGACAGCCCTGTTTTACACCTCCCCAAGCAGGATCAGCTATGTTTGATGAGATGCCGACTCATCGCTCCAACACCCAAGGGCCCCAAAGGGATAAAGGACGTCTCAGCACCACTGGAGACTGGAAACCCTTAAATCGAGGAAGAGGTTGGACCATTGAGCACCGAAACTGAGGCCCCATTATTGAGCATTACAGTCACACTTACATTTACAGTCACACTTACATTGTGCAGCTTGTAGTAGAGCCCGCAGGCGTTACAGACGGGATCGCCGTTGGCATTTCTCCTCCACAGGGTGGTAGTGGTGGTCTGACAGTTCGCGCAGGACGTGCCCGCCCTCCTGGCTGCAGACTGTGGGGAAGGATGGGGGGAGACAGGAGAAAAGAAGGAGAAGGTGAAAAAAGCACTCGTTTTTTTAAAAAAAAAAAAAGGAAAAAAAAAAGCAGATGAAATCAGCAAAATTGCTGAGAAAGAAAACATCAACCCTGCAAGACTGACGCACATCGGCAGAGGCCTCCAGAAACTGGCTTGTGAGAACAAATAATAATTCTGAAAAAAAACCCTGAGGTACTTTAATCCCAAATTATATATGAACTGAATCAGGTGCCAAAGGGCATCCTAAAAGTGAGTGCTAAACCTCTGATAGAACTCATCAAAATTAGCAGCGCTGGCACAGCCCATTCCAGAGGGGAAAATATTATTTAAATGCCAACATGTCTTTCCATCTTAATTCTCTCAGACCCCCCAGGGGTCTAATTCTGCAGTCAAGGCCTAAACCAACAATTGCTGGAGTCAACGGCATGAGTCACACCAGCTCCAGAGAGCACCAGGTGAGACCCGCGCTGAGTTTGGTGGGCAGTTGTTTGCCGGGTCCGACCGCAAGCACGGCCTGATCCCATAAATTCAGCTCAGCTTCAAAGGATACAGGCTCCAAATCGGAAATAACACTGTGGCAAAGAGTGAGAATCCCGACTTCTTAATTACACCCTTTTGCAGCCTAAACCTTCATGTTTATTTAAGGATTGGTAATGAGCTTGAAAGAAGAATTTACCATTTCATAAAGGGGAAGGAACAAGAAAAAAAGTTTATGTGTCAAGGTATATACAGAAGCTTTTTTGTTAGTTGTGATAATGATTTAGCAAAGCCAAATTTTGCAAAATCATTCCTCTGTCACATGCACTAATTTATGTTTGTCATTTAAAAATTGTAACTTTAGCAAATTGTCCTTCTGCCGCTGAAGGATGAAAAGGAGTTTGCAGACTTCTATGTGAATGCGTATGCATGTTCGCGTGTGTGCAAGTGCCTACAGCTCCTAAAAAAAAAAAAGACCTTTAGATCCCCATTCTATCTCTTCTTCATCACTATGACACAGTCCCAGAGCTCTGATTTCATCCCTATGCGTTGCTTTCAATGGGACTGCTCATGTGCTTAAAGTTAAAACATGTGCTTAAGCGATTTGCCAGATCATAGCAATGCTTGGCACCTTGCAGAACTGAGCCTTTAATGCTCTCTTTTGTGCTCTTACTGTTTCAAATTTACCCCTCACCCCACACAGCCACACACTGTAGCACATCCAACATTTAAAAAAATTATATATATATATATATATACACCGCATTTTTGGATATTGTACAACAAACCCAAAATGCAAACACGGACACTGGCACAGCGCTAGCATTAATACCAACTCTTGTTAGGTCATGTTGCAATTTTAATCATAATTGAATGCGGCGTAGGTGGAGAGAGGATGGGATGGTTTTGTTTTAGATAGAGTAGGAATTTTCTTTTTTTTTTTTTGCTTTTAATTAGACAAAAAGGACTATCTAAAAAATAAATAATATGACACCCATGAGAATTGGGAAGCATCACAGAGAGCCTGATCTGACAGGCTGCTGGTGGGGACAGTTCCATTTTGCCTGACCTAAACCACGCTGAAACAAGCCAATCTCAAGCCCGAGGAATTCTCTAGCTGACTTCTCCCTGCTGATGACAAGCGGGAGCTGGGAACGGCACATGGGTCTTTGGTTGCAAAAGTCCCAGTGCTGACAGGAGAAGCTGAAGCGTCCCACCACAAAGAGGAGAGCTTCAGACAGATGTGCACACACAAGCCTTGGTCCTGTCCTCCTCCAGGCCACGTCATGGCCCCAAATTTGATTCCCATCAAAATCACAGGGTTAATACACATACTGCAAATGCAGCACGGACACAACAGCTTGCAGAGCTGGGCTTTTCCCGAGACCCGAGTCTGCAGGTCTCTCCCCACCCAGCTCCCACGAGCCAGCGCGGGTGGCTCAGAGGCTGGATTGAGTCTCTCGGTGGCAACTTTGCCCTTATCAGACCCAAAAATCAAGCCTAAGGAAATTTCTAAAAACCAGTGATATTTGACTCAACCCACACAGGGGAAACATCCCCTTTGAAGATATTTGGGGTTTCTACACGGCACTCGCCGTAATTTCTCTTACAGCAAGTGCGTTTAAAAGACATGCCTGGTCACCACCTTCATACAAACTCTGACATTAAAAAACACAAATAAATCACAATATCCACTGTCTTCTCTAAAACTTTTCCATCTGCTGCGTTTCCCTTACATAAATTCAGCAGCGTTAGCTGAATATTTTAAACTCTGTGCTCTTTCAGTCCCAGACTGTACCTTTTATGCCGTACCAACTTACACCGGAGACACCGGCAGTGGGCAGGAAACAATGAATAATAACGCTATTGTAAAAGCTCCCAGCAATGGCATCCACTGACGCTAATCACCCACCCGAGCCTGACCATGTCAGTAATGGGATGACTAATAGGGTGCCCCATATCATCTATAGGACCAGATCCCATGGCCCAGTTGTATATGAGCGAGGGCACAACTTCGGAAGTGCTGGAGGTGATGAGAAGGTGGAACTGAGGATGGTGCAGCAGGAGAAACCGAGCACTGATAAAGATGCTTAATTAAGGGACATTTTCGGTGCCTGGATTTACATGGGGTACCCAGAAAGCTGCAAATAGCAGCTTCCTAAAGTAAGATCACACATGCATGGGTATTCTGAGAAACTGGTTATAATCCTTCCCAAACCAGCATGGCTGGACACGGAAATAGAGAGCATTGCATCTACACGGGCAGGGAAAGGAAGAAAATCCAAAGGAAGATTTTATCTCAGCAACATCAGTGATGGGGTTACCACTGACTTCAACAGGAACAGTCTCCAAGAAGGCTGTAGACTTTTTAAGCAGAGTGGTGGTGTGGTACCACTTGCCTGTCCCTGATCTCCGTGCCAACATCTCCAGATCTTTCACCTTCACCCCAAAGCAGACCTGTTTGAGCCCCCTTGACCAGCAAGGCTCCATCCATCTCCCCTAAAGGAAGCCCTTACAAAGACACCCATTGAATTTAATAAAGCTTAGGCTGCATTCTCAGCATCTAAGGATTTATTTGCCTTCTCTCTTCAACCCATCTGAGTCCTTTCATTATTTTCAGCGCGCCTGGGATCAGAGCCTACAAAACCAGCCCAAGGTCATGCAGGAAACTTGTGGCAGAGGGAGAGGAGCTCGCACTGGATCCCCACCCTGAGCCTCCATACACACGTCGCCATCCCCAGCCCGCTCGCCTTCACCAGCCAGGAAAGATCAAGTCAAGCCACAGACACACACACATCTACATCTTTGCACTTGAAATGCAAACACGAGCCCAGCTTTGGTGCCTTCTGATTTTTATTTTTTTTTTAGAGGTTAACAAGGGAAATAAATATAGATGCAAAAAGCGTTAGAAATATTTCTCTTTTTTTTTCCTCCAGGCAGTACTGGGAAAAAAAAAAAAATATATGGAAAAATCAAAAGTTCCCATTTAGCAAAACCCACATTCAAAGAACATTCAAAGAACGGGAACTTTTTCTAACTTAAACTAAAATGCCCAAGATTGAAGTGGGCATTTTAGCCCACTTCATTAATGAAGTTAATTTCTAACTTAAACTAAAATACCCAAAATTACAAGGTCTCTCTTTACTTTTTTTCTGTCTCTCTCTTTCTTTTTTTTTTCCCCCAAGAATGACCTTTTACAATGTATTTATTTATATAGTTCATTTTACATGTGCCGGGCTGAGGGTGACTCGGGACATTCTTTCGTGGTTCCATCAGACACTTTTTGAAAGCTCTCCCCCCCTTTTCCAGCCGCTTTCCTATTCTGCCTCCCCCTCCGCTTGTTTGGATACGCTCAAGCTCCTGTGTGTTTGGGCTGGGGAAACGGAGCTGTTGTTTAGGAGTTATCTCCAGGGCTCAGATATCCGGCAGCTTTTTCCTAGGAAGTTAACTTTACACATAAAGAGAGAACGAGGAAAAAAAAATATAAAATAAAAAACCCACGAAGTGTGTGTGTTTAAGGCTGAAGGGCTGGAGGGAGGAGGAGAAAAGAACAGGAGAGCTGCTGAAAAAAATTAAAATCTCAGCCTGTACTTCCCTCCCTAGAAAGCTTTTCCTTTTTTCTAACAAGGCTACGAAAGATGAGGAAGACCAATGTTTTCCTACATGGGAAAAGCCCAGATAGGAAAGCAGGGAGAGATCCTGCCTCAAGCTGTGCTTTGCCCATGGGAAGTTTGGGGGTAAGAGGAGCAATCCCACATCTTCCCAACACCCACACGGCCAGGCAGAGCTGACGCCGCTGCCCCTCGCAGCGTAACCCATCCTGCAGCCGTATCCTGCAGACGCTTCCCAGCGCCTGTGGGGATAACGCTGGTCCAATTTTGTGGGCATCTCAAAGCTGAATCCGTGCCTAAGAGTTGCTGGACCAAGGCTGTAAGTACCTTCACGGGGAACACGAGGCCAATGAACCACCCTTCTCCTGCCTAAAGGATCCAACCATGCCGGGCACAAGCCTCACCCAGCCAGCCAGATCCATCCATCAGCTCAGAAATTCCACAGAGAACTGCTTTTCCTCCTCATTTTGAGCAGCACCCAGGAGCCCATCAGCATCTTTAATTCTTATGAAACTGAAAGTGCCTCAATTCAAAACATTCAATAACTTCCCAAGCAGGGAATATAAACTTTTTCACCCACTTGATATATTCTTTTCCCCTTGTGGTTTGCCTGATTATTTGCCAAATATACTTCAACACATTTGTTAGCCATGCCCACAGCTTCCAAACCTTTTTGTGGCTCCCAGGGAAATTCATAACTAGATCACTGGAGATGCTGTAACCTATCACCTGTACGTAATACAGTTGTGAGGTTACAACTATTATTTCAAATATTTTACCCACTTGTTTTGTCTTCTTCCAACTTCTGTGGCTCCAGACATGCGCTTGGCTTTGCACACTCACTGGGCTTTGCCATCCTCTATCTTGTGTCCCCACTTAAATTGACTCAAAGGGAAATGACACAATTTGAGACCCACATGGCTCAGGTAAAAATGACCACACCAAGTTCAAGTGGCACCAGGACCATCAGCCAAGCTCCAACTGGTGCTTCAGTGGCACCAGCTATGGTGACGAGTACCCAGCTTGAGTCTCACCTCCATGACACCACCAGCCAAGGGGAATGAAGACACGCTTGGGAAGGGGAGAACAGCCGTGTGGAGAACCCAGGAGAAATCCTGTTCTCCTGATCATCTCTTTGGTCACTAGGAAATTATTACTCCGCCCTTGACCCCTGAAAAGAGCCACTGTCCTCGGGTCACCATCCAGAAGCACTGTGCAGAGACATCTGCCCACTATGACCTGGGAGAAAACTCAGTTCTGGTTTGCAAGGAGACCTGGATCTTGGTATTTTTTTAACCTATTTTGCAGTTTGCAAGAGAACCAAACAACTGAGGCCCACAGCAGCTGGGAGCATCTCTTCGAACATCCCCCCTTCCCAACCCTCTGACACAGTGGGACCAGATTTTGAAGCTGGCTGGCTTCCCTTCTCCATCCCAGGCTGCGAACAAGGAGCAAAAGTTGCAGAAGAAGGAAAAGAAAGAATAATTAAAAAAAAAAAGGAGACTCACCAGTCTTCTCTTGGGTTTGATCAGGGGCCGGTTCTGCCCGTTCATTTTGTGATAGAGTCCACAGGCGTTACACAAATAGTGCCCGGTGCCGTCTCTTCTCCACAGAGGGGTTGAGGTAGCCCCACAATTTACACACTCCCTGCCTTCTGGAAACAAGAGAGCACATAGTTCACTTAGGGAAAGCAGAGGTAAAAGGGGCTGGGGAAAGTACCACCCCCCCAAAAAAAAGAAAAAAACAACCCTCCCAAGAGGCCCAGCCTCGTCAGACCTGCCAGTCCTCTCCAAGCCCAGGGTGTCCAAGCCAGGGCTCAAGCCCATGTCTGAGTGACATCCCTGGCATAGGTTGGGGAGAGTTTGACAGGGCCTGGTCCTGTACCACCCCACAAGCAGCAGCAGGCAAGAGGGATGGTGACAATGACAACATAAATTCCATGGTGGCTAGAGGGAGAAGCTCTCATCCCTGGTCATTGCCCCTCACCCCTGGACTAAGGGCTCTTACTGCCCTCCAGACCCCATGTTGCCATATGGACCACAAGCAAACCTTGTCAGGTTTTGCAGGAGCTTCCAATCCCCCCCCCAGATGGATGGATACCAAGTTTAAGTCCATGTCCCCCTTTCTCATATATATGAGGACCCTGAGGTCACTCCTTGAGCACCTCCCCAGCACCAAGGGGGTTGCATGAGGCTGAAGGGGCTCTTCCTTTGGCCTCAGGTCAAACCACATCAAGGACTCCCAAAATAATCACAGGTCAACAACCAAAACACCTCCCTTGCCCCAGCCAATACACAATCACTCTGCTGATATCTGCTATTGATTAATTTGCAATTAAGCTTCCACCACCCAGCTTCCAGAAACCCCTCTGGCTTTCCCACTGCATCTGCAACCTGATGGTCCATCCCTGATATTTGGGATCCCAAAAGGCCCTGACCCCTGATTAAGGTCTTTCCCTCCTTCTTCTCTGTTTTAGCATCTCTCTCTCTCTCTCTTCTCTCCCTGGCTACTGGGGAGGGTATCCCCCAGCTCACCAGCTCCCAACTTAGAGGAGTGAACTGAGAGGGGGGATACCTCACAGCTACTTTCAGAGTGTTGAGTGTTTTTTTTGTTGAGTGTTTGGTTTATTGGGTTGTTTTGTTGTTGTTTTGGTTTGGTTTGGTTTGTTTTTTTCTAGCACCTAATAACACTTCCAGCCCATCTGAGAGCAGCAGAAGACCTCAGCCGGTCAGAGCAGAGCGAACTCAGCACAGAGCTGGCTCCGCGCTGCGTTCAAGCAAGAGGCATCCGCGCCCTAACCACAAACGGCAACCGTTTTTCCAGAGCCTTTGCACTAAAGCCCTCTCTTCTCACCCCTCACAAAAAAAAAACCAAAAACATTTGCAGCCCTTTTTCCTTCCTTCATCCTGCAAAAAATATCCCCTCCATCCTCTTCCTCCAGCACTAACCCCCTTTGTGAACTTCCCAGGTTGCTAAAATCAACTTTAAAAAAGAAAAGAAAAAAAAAAGGGAAGAAAAAAAAAAAATAGGTGTTGCTCCTGGGGTTGGTTTATCACGAACCGCAGATGTCTCTCTAGAAGGTAAAGTAACAGAAAGTGGCAAAAGGAAAACAAGAGGCGGAGTAAAGGGGTGGGGGGGGTGGCGGACAAGATGGTTTGAAAATACCGCGCAGCCAGTGCCCCAGTGGGAGCTGCGGGTCGGTGGGCACCGGGGCGGCCGGGGGGAGCACAGAACTACCCGATCTGTACCCGGGGAGAGAATAAACCAGTCCCTACCCCGACACAGCGCCCGGTCCAGACCGGGGCCAGGCAGGGAGCCGCTCCCGTTAATACCCAGGTCGTTTTGTTCCCCTCCGGTTAAACGGGGCAGCCGCTCCGGGGCTGTTTGAGTCTCTGTCCCTCTCTTTTGTTTCACTCCATCTCTCTCTCTCTCCTGCTTTCATGTACAAAACATACAGGTCTGGGTTTTTTTGTCACTCTAACCGCATCCGGACTCTATTAAAGTTCCTGGCGCTGGATAAACAATGCAACTGTCGCGTGCAGCAGTCTGAAAATAATTGGATTAGCTCAAACATATCAGCTAAATAGAGACAGTCCCTGCTCAGACAGACAGAGTAAATGTCACCCTGGAAAAACCCTGAAAACTGATCTCATTCATGCCAGGCAACCCTGTAGCAGCCACCTCGGAAAAAAAAAATAGAGAGAGGGAAAAAAAAGAAAGAAAAAAGAAAGATGAAAAAGAAAGATAAAAAGAAAATAAAAGAAGGGGAAAGAAAGAAAAGAAAGAATAAAAGAAATAAACGAGAAAGAAAAGGGGAAGAAAAAGGAAAGGAAAGAGGAAAGAAAAAAAAAGGAAGCAAAAAGGACGAAAAGAAAGAAAGAAAATAGTTTTGACTAATCTCCCTGTCCTCTGCACACACAAACACAAACACACACCCCTCGGCTCACACACTACCCCTCACTACACACAGACGTCCAAACCCGGAGCGTTCAGCCATCGGGAGCTGCGTAATATCCGACCCCCCCCTCCGCGGGGTGCGCAAAGCGCCGGGACCCCCCAGCTCTTCCCTGAGAGGTGCGGCCGGGGGAGAGATGTTTTGGGATTTTGTATTTGGGGGGGTCACAGACCCTGACAGGGAGCTGGATGGGGCTGGGGAGGGTCACAGACCCCGGCATGGAGCTGGATGGGAATGGGGGCTGCGGGGGCGAGTTCCCCAGCGCCCCAGGGGTGGCGGAGGGGACCAGGTCGCCCCCGGGGCAGGAGCCCTGAGGCAGTGGAAGGGGGATTTGGGTTCCTGGGGTCGCACCCGGGTTGGACAAGGAGGAGTTTGGTTATAAACTCAACAGGGTAACCTGTGGGGAAGGTAAAGTGAGTGTCCCCCTCCCCACCCCGGGGGCTTGAGCCCTCGCTGCTTTCATCACACGGAGGGTTGTGCGCATCCCTCTGCGAGCGGAGAGGAGAGGGGGTGGCACAGCTTTTCCCCTTTCACCCCCAGCTTTCCACCATAGCTTCCTCTCCCAAACAAGAGGGATGAAGAAGCCCAAAGCCCTACCTGTGCTTGACCGTGCTTTGGGTCGCGATTTACACCCGAACCCGGTCGGTGATCCTCCTAAGAGGCTACTGGGGGGAAAAAGTCCAGAGCCATATTCTGGGACATACGGTGGGTAGGTAGTGATGGGATGATGAGCAGAAGAGGTGGCTCCTCCTAAAGAGGCCATGCTGCTCCGAGAGTGAGAGGACTCCAGCTTCATGGTATCGGCCAGGGACACCTGGTATTTGATGCATTCCTTCTCGTCCTGCCGGGTGGAGCCGGTGGAACCAGGAGTGGAGATGGACGGATCCGGAGATACATCTTTAGGAGGGGTCGGTGGGAAGGTGAAAAGGTGCGGGCTGGAGTGACCGGCGGATAAAGTAGAAGAGGAAGCGGGTGGATAAACGGAAAGGGGTCCCGGTGAGCTATGATGGATGGAGGTCTTGGAGAAAGGGCTGAGGTTCCAAGGGGAAGCGCTGTGGTGGCTGCTCAGCGCTTTGCTCCCGTCCAGCCAGGGCAGCGAACCGTGCAGCAGCGGGGGACGGCACACCTGGCTCCCTGCGAGGAGAAAACACAGCGAAACCCCCGTTACATCCCCTTCGCCACCCTGGCAAACCCCCCGGGGGGGTGTCGGGCTGTAAACCTCCCCCCTTCCCCCATTCCTCCTTCTCAAAGGGCTCAGCGTGAGCGAGGAGCAAGGAAAGTTACATCGGATGCAAACCTTCACTGCCCTGGAAAAATTAAAATTTAAAAGTTGTAATAGCCTGAGGTGGCAGCCCTTGCTGCCACCCTGATCTTGCTCAGGACAGGGTCTCCGGGTTGGGACCCCCTCAAGCAGGGATGCCAGCCCTGGGACACAGAATTTAGTGAGTCCTGCTTCACTCTCTCCCTTTTCCAGACAGTCCCACGCAGACTTCGAAGCAAAGATCCTGCGTGAAATTGCCAAGCCCCGACTATAGAAATCTCTTTTTTTTTTTTTTTTTTTTAATTTTATCTTAACTGGAAAATAATTTCTCGCACACAGCCGTGGGCTATAAACCCTGGGAATATTCTGGCCAAAACGAAGAAGATCAGAAGATGCCCACAGACATGATCATAACCTTTCCAACAGAGCTGATAAACTTTGCAAACCACTCTTTTTTTTTTTTTTTCCTTCCATGAGGCTGCACACAAATGGCAGACAGCTTTTTCATGGCGATATGGCACACACACAGAGAGTACCAACTACCTCAAAAGAAACTCTCCATCCCCTTCTGATGTCAAGAGACCCTTCACTTGTGGTTTAAAATACAGACCTGGACTTTGCCAAAAACACCACTGGAATTATGCAGTCAAACCTTGGTTTCTTTGGTTATCTGTGTTCTTAAGGGATGGTACCTAATATTTAAATTAATCGCTGTCCTCACTTAAAAAAAAATAAATATCCAAAGAATTAAATCTACCCAAATCCACAGCAACTTGAGGTGAAAAACACAGTTATTTCACTGGAGGAGAGCAATTTTGTGCCTGCTAATAGAGCCCTGAAAACGCATTGACATCTAGAGAGCCTCAACCTCTGTATGTATCGGGATGTGTGTATAGAGTCTGCTAAATATACAGGAGAGGTGCAAGCACAGATCTATGGGGACACAGATAGTTAAAGAGCTAGTGCAGAGTCGACATGTATGCTTGCATGGGAGCTTGTGTGTGTCTAGAAAATCTCCAAGCTAGTTTTCACCGTACTAGACATTTCTGAACAATATTGAAAGTAACTGCTCGAAAGGAAGGGAAGGTGGGTTATACGAATAGAAAGGGTCAAGATTCATTATCTTCTCCAGGAAGTAGCATAGTAAATAATATTCAGGCTAGATCAGAGAGACCGCATTTCCACTTTCTGCTGATATATTGGAAAAAAAAGAAATGAAATGAAAAGAAAGAAAGGACAAAGGCTGCTGATCCTTAGAAATAATTGTTTTAAAGGGACTAATAGCAGAACAATGCAGTTACTGAGCGGAGCCTAATGCAGACTCGCACTCAACAAGTAGCTGAGGGCTGGGAGCAGCCCCCTGAACCCGGCTGGGCTCCATCTCCGCTCACTCATCCCACTTTCTTCTCCTTAATTTTGGGGTGATTTCCACTGCAAATCTTGAGCTGGTTAGATTTTGGCACTACAGATGTCACTGTCTGGCTTCACAAATCTGCATCAGCTTTTTTCCCTCCTTTTTTATTTTTCTCTTTTCCCTGTTTTTTAACCCTACAGGTAAACTCCGGCTATAAATACTGGATATCTCCAATTCTTAATGAAAGACAGGACGAAAGCACCCATCCCTCCACAAACCTGGGCCTCATCAGCCCCAGGTATTTGGCCTCCTCTCTAAAAGCTGTGACCCAGGAACAAAATTCACATTGAGGATCACTACCTTCCTGCAGGACTCGCAGGAAAACACACCAGGTCTGATACCTAATTACACCATGGGATATATTTTTGTCTTTCTTATTTTTAAACACACACCATGGTGTAACCTTGGATGCGTGTGCAAAAACTTTCGACCCAAACCTAACAAGCTCACCAAGTGTGAATTAAACAGCCCAAGCGTGAGGACAGCAGGTCATTTTCACACCCCTGCTCTTCAGTTTGCTTTTCTTCTCCAGAGCAGCTTAATCGTGCAAAAACTAAACACCGTATGAAAACCCTGTTAACCTAATTAAAGGCGGGGGGTGGGGGGGGATAAAGCGAAAGAGATAGGAAAAGAGGAAGAAGACAAGAAAAAGATGAAAGGGAAAGAAAGAGAAAGAAGGAGAGCAAGAAAGAGGGGGAGAATGAGAGAAAAAGAGAGAGCAAGGGAAATAAAGAGAGAAAGAGAAAGAGTTACCATGAAAGAAAAAGAGAGTAAGAAGATATAAAGATATAAATAAGAAGGGAAAGAAGGGAAAGATATATTAAAAATAGAAAGAGATAAAAGAAAAAATATTAAAAGAAACAGAGAAAGAAAGAGAAAGAAAGAAAAAAAATGGAAGGAACCCTGAATTTTGATTTATTTCCAATAAGCCAACCTCAAAATCCACCCGTGACGTAGTTTCCCCGCCGGCAGGAGAGCTGCAGGGGTCTGTCAGACGGCAGCTGGGGCA